ATATATATATATATATATATATATATATATATTTTATATTAAATCATGAAAATTAAATATATTTAATCATAGTGATGGTGTTAATTAAAGAAAAATTTCTCATATATATCCAAATTCACAACCATGTGATATTGGAAGGTAGAGGTATAGGTAGCGTTTATTGATGTGCATAGTTGTTAGTATAACATTCCTTTTTCCCTACTCACACCCATCATCCATCCCTTCCTCAACCTTTCCAACTCACTTTTTAACATTCCTTCATCCTCTCCACTTTAAATTATAGAACCATTTTCATCAAATGTACCTTGAAGAATAAAAAGTATTTTCGTTACTTACACAATTATCCATTTCCTTATTTAGTTACTTTTTGGTAACATTTTTCCCTAAATAATCAGTAGTAGTTTAAATTAGTTTTACTCCTCTTTTTTATTAGACCCAAAAAATGAAAAAACAAAAAAAGTGTTAGGTCAATAAACATTGACTATTGATGGTCCTTGGTCTAGTTAATAAACTTCTATTTTTTCATGGTCTTTGAAATTTGGAATCAAACGAAGTCCTCTTCAGAATCTGATTCATTCATTGACCAGAGTTTTCACCTTCAAAATCATGTAAGCTGTTTCGAAAGCTCCATACATGTGTGTGGAACCAGTTTCTTCCGTCTCAAAAACATCATTAGAAAAATGAAACGTCTCAAAAACGTAATTTATCTTTTCTTATTCTCTCTCAGCAATAACATGGAGGATGTGTTTTTGGATTCACATTTGAACATAATTTTTCAATTGACCATCATGTTAATTTCAAGTTTTAAATTAAATTCCCATGGAAGTTACTAGAAGCTTCTTTTGCATTAAAACCAACTTGGTGAGTGAATTGGTGGGCCTTAAGAATGGGCCTGGGCCTGGGCCCATGTTGTTTAGAGAGAAAGAGAAGAATAAGCTATAGGAGTATCCAACGCGGCATTGACATGTAATGCGAGACACACAGGAGCGTTGATAGGGTTGTCCTCAGGTGAACCCTTCTCTTGTGTTCTGAATGAATCTGCACGGACACACCAAAATTTAACTTATTTTTCCCAATCACGCTCGCTTCCTACCACAATCCTATTTCCCAGTGAGTTTTTTTTTTCCTTCTTTTTTTTTTTTTTTTTGTACATTCCGATTCACTTTTAGGGTTTTCCCTCTTCCGCTCTCTTAATTGTTTCTTCCGAGGACTCAATGTTTCAATTTCGTTTCAACTCTAGTGTTTAGGGACTTAATTTGCTCAACACGCGTGAATTCCCTTTTCATATGCTCTGTTTCACGTGTGACACAATTTCGAGGGAGCCATTCAGAATTGCAAAATTTTCCATCTTTTTTTGTTTTAGACGTTCGTTGAAATTTGGACTCATTTGCTTGGCTTCCGCTAATTACACACCTTTAGGATGGTACTGTTATGGAGTGCAAAGTTTTACTCTGTTATGAATTTTAAGAATTCTCAATAATGTTTGTTAGCCTGAAGTTTTTTTTTTTTTTCCTTAGAATTTTTTACGAAATGATTTGCCATGCTTGTTAACTCTTGGATGAGTGAGTGGTTCTTACCAATTTATTTATATCTGATAGTCAAAACTGAAAATTCTGGCACTATTCGTGTTTGATTCACAATAAAGCTATGGCAAAGTGGAAATTAAACGGGGAGTAGAATTTCGAATGCTTCTTTTAGTTTTAAAAAGATGATATTGTCAGTCATAATTTTCAAGTTGTTATTCCTTTTTTCTCCATTGTTTGAGCTAGGAGAAGTTATGCAGAACTTTTTCCTGTTACCTTATCCCACTTGATAAGTTTGGCTACATAAATCATTTGATGTCGTCACACGTTAGGCTTTAAGGAAAACCATTTTTTTAACAAATCCATATAACAAATTTTTAAAGAAAATTAAAAGACATCCTCAAGGTTTCTCATGCCATGTTTTTTCGTTTGTGCTTTGTTATTCAATGGAGGTGTAGTTTTTGTTTTTTTATTATTTGCAACAAAAAAAAATTGTTTGAAGTTGACTGAAGTTTGCCATACCATGACATGGTTGTTTGTCATACTTGTGAAAGACATGAATTCTTCCTTCACATTGACTTTGTGAAAAGTCTTTGAATTCAGCTTGGTAACTGCCTAACTGGTAATCCATTTTAACTGTTGTAGTGGAGTGTACTTGTCCTCTATAAATGACTTTGATTTATGCTGTTTTCTTTCACTGATTCTTTGTAATACTTGTTATATACACCATTTTGTACCCATTCTGCTGTTATGCTTTCTTCAAAAATTAAAAAAGAACTATAACTTGGGAATTTTTGAATTAGGACAATAATGTTCTTCTCCTTTTCTGTCATACTCTTTATTTTCAATGAAAGGGTATTTCGTTGATTTTATACACTTCGCTATAGAAAATTACATGGCTCCAAAAATCTTATAGCAGATCTTTTGTTGCTGCAGTGGAGTTTGGGATTGATAGCTCCATTAGTGGTGAGACAGTAACAGTAGGAAATGCTTCTATAGGGCAGATTAATAGCAGCACAGCTGATGAAAACAAAGTGGGATGCAGTTCTTTTAATCCTGCCTATAAACAAGATCATGATGATAATATAACTCAAGATTCTTCTGGAGGGGACACAATCCCATCAGGAATTCCTGCAGTATCAATTGTGTCAGCTGATGAGCCCTATGTGGGTCAGGAGTTTGAATCTGAAGCTGCAGCACATGCATTCTATAATGCATATGCTACACGTGTTGGATTCATCATACGTGTAAGTAAGCTCTCTCGATCAAGGCGTGATGGAACTGCTATTGGACGGGCTCTTGTTTGCAACAGAGAAGGTTATAGAATGCCTGACAAACGTGAAAAGATTGTAAGGCAAAGGGCAGAGACAAGGGTTGGTTGCAGGGCAATGATCTTGGTGAGGAAAGTAAGTTCTGGTAAATGGGTTGTTACAAAGTTTATAAAGGAGCACACACATCCTTTGGCACCTGGAAAAGGTAGAAGGGATTGCATTTATGAGCAATATCCGGTAAGTTAATATTCTTTTCATCACGGAAAGATGGTCTATGTGGTTATGTTTATTCTGTTAATAATTACTTTATGCTTGATAGATAATAATAGTCACTCACTTGGTGCTATTGACTGTCTATCGAGCCCATCACACGAGTTTGAATTTTGCACCTAATAGAGTTTCCCATCTTATACCTCCACGGTCCACACAAATTACCAAAAATTGCTTTGGGGCAAACATTTCCAAATATAAAACTCACTATCCCATAAACAATAAATGTTCCGAGTCAACTGTAGTACCAAAAAGCTAAGAAGGGTCTAGTTTTATTTTTTCTTACAAGATCATTTAGCTACTTTGAGAAAAACATTGTTTTAGATTAATATAGAATTTGAAGGAACACGTCAATAAATTTTTATTAAGATGTTCATCAATCATATTTGTATTGTTATTGTAATACTAATAATAAGTCAAACTTATTTAAAAGAAAGGGAGAGAAGAGAAACAATGAAAGACTTTCTATATGTTTTATATCTGTAGTATTGGTTGCATTTTAGTTGATGAGAGTTTGTGTTTTTTGTTTTTGTTTTTGGGTGAGCCATTTGAGTTTCTGTATTAAGATGCATGGAAAATATTTTTGGCATCATCTTCTGTTTGGCATATATGCTTGTGTTAGTCCATGTGACCTTGTATGTGATGAGTACTTTGAGCAATTTGAAGATCATCCTTGTTGAATTTTCAGTTAATCCTTACACCTTTGTTCTATGCAATTTCCAGAATGAGCATGATAAAATTCGAGAACTATCTCAGCAGTTGGCTTTAGAGAAAAAGCGCTCTGCAACCTATAAAAGGCATCTTGAATTGATATTTGAGCACATTGAGGAACATAATGACAGCCTTTCAAAGAAAATACAGCACATAGTAGACAGTGTGAATGAGATGGAAACCAAGGAACAACAGAGTCACAGATAGATTCAGCTCTTGGTTATATAGTCTTTTCATTCTTTTTCACTGGATGAAACACAGAATCAACTGACCGGGTCAAAAGGTGCTGCTAGAAATATCATGCAATAATATAGTTGCTGACCTAGGTATCTACCTCGTTCCATCCTTAGGTGTCAGGTGAGTTCTATAGTTCAGTTTGTTAAGTTCAATGGAACTCAATAATTCATTGGATTGCTCTATTTAGCTGTAGAAGAAACTAGTTCAGTCAATGTACAGGTAATTTGAGTCCATTCTTCAGAAATTATTACTAACAATATGCGACTCATAACAGGCATTCAAATGCCTTGATAGAATTTAATTGTTCCATTGTTGATGTTGTAAAGTTTGATCCATGGCTGTGTTCTTTGTATAGCATTTGAATAATATTGGGAATGCACAGTCCGGATGTTCATATTATTTTCATTATGCAAACTTCCATTAATGAATTGACTTTATTGGCCGCATACGCATTTAATTACTATCTAACGACAATTTTTCTGTAATTAAAGGTGTTCACGAGAATGGTTGAATCGGTCACTTTTTTGGGGACAACAGTTGAGTCGAGTTTAACCTGGCTTGTAGTTGAACCAAATTTATATCCATTTTGTATGGATATACTTTTCTTAAAAGTATTTTTAGAAAAGATAGGAAGAAAAATAAAATAATTTTTTTCGCCAAACTAGTTACAAATAAGATTTTAGAAAGTTAATTAGAAAATTTTTACAAATTAATTTATACATAAATTAATTTTTATTTATGAAAAATTTTATTTTATTTTTTCTTCTTATTTATCCTCTTAAAAGTGTGTTTAGAGACACGATTACTATCTACACCGTTTCAGCTGCCCCATGCACCCATCATATTTAAAAATATATATAAATTATCCTTTCATCTTCCTCACATATTCTTTCCACACACTTCATTTATAGTCTTCAAAACACATTCTGAAAGTTATTTTTATTTCTCCGGAACACATTCCGGGTAGTTTTTATCTCTGAAATTCATATTCCAGTTTAACTGGACCAATTGTTTTGGAAATGAACACCCGATCCAATCATGAACAAATTACTTGCGTTATTGGATAAGATATTTTAGACAAAAAAAATGAGTTTTGGTTTTGCGTGACTAAATAACAATACAGAGTTAAAATCAAGGTATATTTTAAATATATATTTTGAGAAAACAACATTTAATCCATTATAATCAATCTCTATCTTTATATATTAAAGGCAAGTTAAACTGTTTTTAGAGGTTTTTTTCAACGATAGTGTTAGTACAAATTTTTTTAAATTTTTTTATCTAATTCGTTTCTTATTTATTATAATTATATATAAATTAAATACTAATATTTTAAAATGATTATCAATAAATAAAAATAATTTTTTATAATATAATTATTTATCATAAATCTAAAATATAATTTATACCTATAAAGATATCTATTTATATAATTTTTAAATATAATTTATATATTTAAATATAATATGTATATAATTTATTATAAATTTTAATTACATATAATAAATATACATATGCATTGTACAAACTAAAATACTAGTGTTGTGTAAAATGTTAATAAGTAAAAGATCCCAAATTATTTATAACTAAATAATATTTTAGCATATACAATGTATATGTATATTTATTATATATAATTAAAATTTATAATCAATTATATATATAAATAAATATTTTGTTAGCATATATAAATTATATACATAAATATTTCTAAACATATATTATATTTTAGATTTATGATAGATAATTTGTTAGGGGTGTAAGCGGGTACGAGTAACTCATGAATTCAAGCTGATCCAAACCAATCCATTGAGTTCGGATCAAGTTTTTTTAATGTTCGGGTCAGATCGAACTCAATCTGACCAAAATTCGACACTGTATGGATCGAATAACAGATTTTGTATTTTTAATCCATTACCTGACCCAATCCAGTCATATATAATAATAATAATAATAATAATAATAATAATAATATTATTATTATTATTATTATTATTATTATTATTTGAATGATCATTTGTTTAGAATACTCACTATCACTCTTATTTAGTAACGAGTATTGTGTTTTAAGTTAGTAAAATTGTAACAATATAATATATCATTGTTTGCTTTATAGGATGATAATGTCGTTTGTGGTTGAGTTGGATTAGATTGAGTTTTTTTTTTTTTTAAATTTGTACAAGTCCAACTCAACCTAACCCGTTAATATTTGGATCGGGAACCCGTCGGATAATAGCTTCATCCAAACCCAATGTAATCTACCTATTAGTGTTTCTATAGAAAATTTATGAAATATTATGTTATATAATCTACCTATTAGTATTTTTATTAGTGAAAACATTATATTAAATCAGCAGATTTTATATAATTGCTTCAATATGTCATTTTTAAATATATTATTCATGACTTGGAAAACTAAAATAAGATTTTTAAAAATTATATGTACTAAAAATATTAACTTCATATTTAAGGAAATAAAAACAAGTTTTAAGATACCGTACTGTGTCTGAATATACATTTGTAAACTTGATTTTGAATGAAAGTCATTTTATACAACTCATTTTAAGTAAATGTAAGTTTAAAGTAATATATATATATATATATATATATATATATATATATATATTTGGATAACTAATATTAGAAAATTGAGTAAATTACAATGACATTTCTTGAAGTTTCAGGAAATTAGAGAGGATAATGTTATGTCTAAGATGTGGTAGTATAATATTTTTCAAATAATTAAAGAGAATTATTGTAGGGATAGAAAAAATTAAAAATATATGTGTAATTTTACAAAATTTCAAAGAGTGTGAGTTCTTAAAAAAAAAAAATTTGACTTTGACAATTAATGTTGATTAGAAGTATGCAAACAAAATTGATTCTAAGTGTGTAATTATGAGAAAGAAATAAGTTTTTTTTTTTTGTTACAAAAGATGTTTTAATGTCTATGTATTTTTTATTTAGGTGTCATTCGTATTATAGTTCATTGTTAATATTAATATGTACATTCATAATTTAAAATTAAATAACTATGTAATATTTTTTTTTTTTCAGAATATAATAATTAAAATATTTGCACCATAGCTGTTTATGAATGTAATGCGCCACTGTTACTTGGAGAGTAATCGGCAATGGCTGTTTTGTTCTCAGAAAATGCAGAAGAATGACCAGTGTGAGTGACCCATAATTAAATGAGTTTTTGGATTTTTTTTATATAAATTTTTTTTATCAGGTATTCTGTTTTAAAATAGATATATTTAATTTCTTATTTTAAATATATAAAATTTTAATTCTCTTATCAATTTATTGTTTAGTGATGTGTAGGTCCTTGACATTATATGTAGGAATAAATATTAAAAAAACATCATATATGTATTTTAATAAGTGATTAATATTTATTTTATTAATGATTCTTATTTATATATATATATATATAT